TTTTGCGTATATCTAATGGGAACACGTGAAAGTAATGGAAAAACGTGAAAGCGTATTTCTGTACAAATGTCTCTTTTGCATATATCTTTTAATTTATATTAAAAGCTTGAACTGAAAATTATTTTCTTCAATGATCTTTTACTAATTGTTATCCAAAATGATAGAAAAAAAAAAGAAAAATGATTATAGGAAATTCTAATTTCATAATTAGAATTCAAAATCATATTTTTTCTTAAAAAAAAAAAAAATCTTTACAGTAAATTATGATTATATTTGCATCCATTCAAACCTTTTTCTTTTCTTTTTTCCTTTTTTTTTTTGACATAACTCTGAAATAATGAAAAAATATGATTATATTAATGTTTAAAAATTATATTTTTATATCTGTAATCACATTTTTTCCAACATTTCAAATTTGTGTTAAAAAAAAAGGAAAGGAAAAAAGATTTTAAAAAGAAAAAAAAATTTAAATGAATATAAATATAATCGTAATTTTTATAGAAAATTATGATTATATTCATATTTATTTAAGTATTTAAATTTGTTCTTCAAAAATTTGAAGCAAAAAAAAAAAGCGAAAGAGCTTTAAGAATTTAAAAATTTTTATTCTTAGACAAAGAAAAAAAATAAACATAGATATAAAATGATAATAATTTACAGTAAGAATTTAGAAATTTTTATTCTTAGATACAAAAAATAAAAAAAAATAAAATAAAAGAGAAGAAAATAAATGTGAAAATTATAAGAGATCGATATAAAATGATAAAAATTTACAATTTATTTTTTATGATAAGTTTAAATTTACAATAAAAATTAATTAAAAAAAATATATTTTGCATATAAATAAATTTGATTAATTCCTAATTTTATTATAGGATGATATTTATGTTCCATGTAAAGAACTTGCATTAAAATTTCAACGTGGTGATATCCTTCATGTGATTAATATGAATGATGAAAATTGGTGGCAAGCATATCATGATGGTTGTGAAATGAATAATTCACTTGCTGGTTTAATACCATCAATATCATTTCAACGACAGTAAATTGTTATTTATTTATTTATTGATAAAAATTATATTAATTAATGATTAAATGATTAAATTTAATCGATCCAATAATTTAAATGAATAAATAAATGATTTAAATTTAATTGATCAAATTTTTAGATGATTAAATAAATGATTTAAATTCTAAGCAGATGATTTAAATTAAGCTTTTAAATGATTAAATTTAATTGATTAGGTGATTAAACGATCAAATAAATACTTGCTATTTTCAAATGATATTAATTTAGTGAAACTTCATTATTATTTATAAAATTATTATAATTATAATAATAAATACATTGTATAATAGTTTAAATTTGTATTTTTTCATTTTGAAAATATTTTTAAATTCAAATTTTGAATTGATTTCATTTTTAAAGGTTATAATTTGAAAAAAAAAAAAGGAAAAAGGTCAAATTATTTAAAGGATTGCTTTGTATGCACGTGAATTTGAAAGGGAAAAACAATTGGAAAATGGTAAGAATAAAGATTTCTTCGGTTGTAAGAAACGAAAACATTTAATCAAAGGAAAATGGAAGAAAGGAGTGGAAGAGATGAAATCAATGGATGAATTAAATGATGAAAATGATGCAGGTGATAATATCACTGATAAGATCAACTTTTTTTTTTAAAACAAAAAAAAATAAAGATAAAAATGAGCTTTATTATTTTTTTTCTTTCAGAAATTTTAACATATGAAGAAGTTATGTTATATCTATCGAAAACAGGACGCAAAAGACCATTTGTTCTTTGTGGCCCAGAAGGTGTTGGCTGTTTAGAATTGCGACAACGTTTGGCCGAATATGATAAAGATAAATTTGCCAGTGCTATACCTCGTAAGTTTAAAAAAAAAATTTATTATGCAGAGTTTATCCATTTATAATATTTCTCAATTAAGATCAAATGTTATGATAAGCATTGGTAGGAGATTAATTTTTTGAATTAAGAAAGAATTGGAATGTTTTAAAATGATTATTTGTTTATTTGGTCGTTTGTTTATTTGATTGTTTGTTTATTTGTTTATTCGATTAATGATTATATGATTATTTGAAAGAGTAGGGAATGATAAAAGGAAAAAAAGAAGAATAAGTTATTAATTTTGATACCTCTGTTTAATAATAAGTTATTTATTTTGATACCTCTGTTTAGTAATAAGTTATTAATTTTGATACCTCTGTTTAGTAATAAGTTATTAATTTTGATACCTCTGTTTAGTAATAAGTTATTAATTTTGATACCTCTGTTTCAGTAATAAGTTATTAATTTTGTATACCTCTGTTTAGTAATAAGTTATTAATTTTGTATACCTCTGTTTAGTAATAAGTTATTAATTT